GCGAGGGGCCAGCCACAGTCCAGAGACAGCTTTAACTCCTCGGCCAGGTGTGGAGACGGCCAGCCGGCGGCCCAACTGCAGCACCTCAGTTCTTGACAAATGACAGTATTGAGTGGACAGGTTAAAATAAAACGGAGAGAAAAGGTCTGCTTGCACTTTTTATTTAAGACACCCCTCCCAGGGGGTCCCAGCAAACAAAACAAGGATTTTTACAACCGCCCTGGTCCTTTGTCGGTAGCTGTCCGGGGTTGACAGCGACTACACACACAGGCACTCCCAGGAAGGGGTGGGTGACATTTCTACTCCTGTTTTGGGGCAAACATTTGCTGTTTTGTACTCAGTGGGGCCGGGCGGGGGTGGGTTCCGGGGTGTCTCACCCAGAGGTTTTTTTTTTTTAATTATGAATCCCTTCCTGCTGTGATTCTTGTCATTTTTTAAATTTTTAAAAGTTTTTTTTTTAACTTTTACTTTTTACCTCTTGTGTATATGTAGGGAATTTATAGGGAAATATGTACTTTATGGAATAAATTTTAAGAACTAAAAAATATATTTTATTTTAAATGAAGTAATGGACCTTTAATCTTACACAGCTAAATTACTGATTATATATTTGCTGAGCTGATTTAAAGGTTAAAAACATTGTATCAAGAGTTTTATTTTTTGACTTCAAAGCCTTCTTAATAAAGTCTTTTTACTACACTGAGCCCTGCTGTCCGGTGTGTGGAGTGTGGGCGGGTGGCCTTGGCCCTGGCTCCTCCCAGCTCTGGGTCCCAGGCTCTGGCTCTCCAGCACTGCCTGGGTCCAGCTGAGGGCCCTGGGGTTTGAGGGGCAGCTTTGGCTTCCAGGGACCAGCAGAGGCAGGCCTTCCCCTGCGGCCAGGTGTGTGTGGCCCCACCCCACAGTGGGGCGTGCCAGTCTAGATGGGGAGCCCGGCTGGAGGTCCACCTCGTGGTCTGCAGAGGATGCAGTGACGGCCTGTTCTCATTTGTTCCCCCGAAGGGCAGCCCACAGGTCACCAAGCAGCTCTTCAGGGGTGGGTTGAGCCCAGGAGGTCAGGAAGGAGTGGCCACCAGGTGGATGGTCCGTGGACAGTGGAACCACCCACGTGACTCATGAAACTAGACGATGTGCTGTCCCAGGGGTCAGGCACAGGGCCAGGGTGGGTGGATCGTGGGGAGGGCCTGGAGGGAGGGGGCTCAGGGACACGGGAGCCACGAGCTGTGGGTGGCAGCAGTGGAGATGAGCCCCACTCTGGACCCCTGGCCTGACCCCCCACCCGCTAAGGCAGAGATAGCCCTGAGGACCGGCCTCCTAGTTCTGGGGGCTGGGGGCACTGCAGTGTGGCGAGGAATGCCACCCAGGAAAGATGTCCCCTGGCGCCAAATGTGGCCTTATTTGGGAAAAGGGTCTGTGTAAATACGATTAAGGATTTAGAAAGTCGCCCTGAGTCGGGGGGCCTCACCTCCAGTGTGCCCCTATGAGGGAGATAGCTGTGTGGAGGCGAGCCTGGGAGGACCCACCCAGGAGGCCAGGAGGCCTGGAGCCCCCAGAGTGCAGCTGTACTCGCCTGGGGCTGGACCTCAGCTTCCAGGTGGAGCATGGAGTTCCCACCAGCCCAGCTGAGGCTCTCTGTCCTGGCCAGGCCTGACCCACAAGTCTGCAAGGAGCATGGGCCACGGCCACAGGAGCCCTGGCAGCCTGGGCTGAGGTCAGGCCTGGGCCAAATGGCAGAGGGTGGCCAGCAGGCAGCAGGTGAGAGGGTACTGCTGACCCTGGGCAGCTTGGGCAGGAAAAGACTGCCCCTCCCCAGGAGGCCAAGAGGAGGAGGTTCTGGGCGTCCTGTGGAAGGAAGGGGCCCTGAAGAGAGGACTCAGAGGTCTGAGCCCCAGGGGAAGGAGGCGGGCGTGCTGGGCAGCTGTGCCTCTGGCTGCTGTGCCCAGCTTGTCTGCTGGCTGTGGCTGGCTGGGGGAGAGGCCTCAGAACTGGGGGGACTCTCCTTTCTCCCTTGGTCTGTTTATTTTTGCCTATTCTAATGGTATGCTGCTATAATCCCCAGGAACCCTGGAGGCTGAGGCAGGAGGATCCAAAGTTCAAGACCAGCCTGGGCAACTAGGGAGACCCTGTCTTAAAAAAGGATGGGGGCGGCATTCGGTGGTAAAGCGCCTGGTTTATCCTCGTTCCAAGCCCAGAACGTGCTGGGAGGAAGGAGTGAAAGAACACGGTGCCCAGGCTCGGACTGCCAGGAGGACGGGCGTGTGGACAGAGCTGGGGCAGCTGGACGACTGGCCAACAGACAGGCCCAGGGCATGGCCTGGGGATGGTCTGAGGACCCCTGTCTGGGGCCGCTGGGCTGGTGCTGGGCACCTGTGGCTACCGTGGCCCTGGGGGAGCAGGAGGGATTCTCGGAGACGGGGTTCGAGGCCTAGATCCAGCCAGGCCTGGAGGAAAACGATCCCTGCCTTTGAGTTTGGCGGCCAGTGAGCTCTCCAGCACTGAGAGCCGGAGCAGGCCAGAGCGGCTCAGGCCGGGAAGTGTCCCGGGAGGAGACCAGGCCCGTGAGCAAGCCCTGCAGCTCCTCACTCCGTTTCTTCCTCTTTTCCATTCGGATGTTTCACATAGAGGTTCGGCTCAGGAAAGCTGAAGGCCCAGGTCCTTCCCGGCGCCCCAGGCCCAGACCCTCGGGGACTGGGCTGCTCCCAGGGTGAAGTCCCTTTGGGCTTCCTCAGGCCCCGGGCGAGCCGAGGGCAGAGCCGAGGGCAGAGCCGGGTTCTCCCGCCTGGACTCGGGAGCAGCAGGCTCCAGCACGGAGTCCGGCTGTGCCTGTGCTTGGGGGACAGTCCAGCCTCTGGAGTCCCACCCTGCGTCCCGCCACGGCCCCCTCTTTGCACTGGACCTTGGGCTTCACTCTTTACCTCCGTCTGCACATGTGTGAAATGGGGCTTGGCCTTAGACACGTGGGACAGTCCAGCAGGTGAGCGGCCTCCGGCTTACCTTCTGGGTGGGGAGGCAGGCGGTGGACAGGCGGGGGGTGGGCGCCTGGATGGGCCTGAGGGGGGAGGGATGGAAGCAGAAGGAGGGGCTCAGGAGGCAGACGGGAGGTGACTCGCAGGTGCAGCTGGTTGGGTGGCCGGGGGCTGAGTCAGAGACCAGGTGGCGGGGACCTGGAGTGGGCCCCAGGGCTCCTTCCGAGGGGCAGGTGTCCTAATAGGGGACGAGGCTGGAAGGAGAAAGGTCGCACCCAGGGCGTCCCCTCCAGCCTCACCCGCCGGATCCAGGTCCTCAGTGGGACACGGGGTTCAGATCCAGGGTGTCCCTGGAGAGCCGAAGACGCGACCCCAGTGTGGAAGGGTTCAGGGGGGCTTAGCGACCTCAGCAGTGGGGAGTGCCGGGTGGTCCTGTTGGCAGGTGGGGCACAGCCTCCGGCCCCGCTCTCTTCTCTGAGGTGATCTGGTCACAGGGACCCACATTCGTCCTCGCCCATCCTGCAGAGTCCACCTGCCCTGGAAGTCCACGTCAGCACACACTGCACTCCGCCAAGCAGAAGGTCCACGTCAGCTGAAACGCAACAGCCTCTCGTGTCTGGTGACTTCCACGTTGGATCTTTCTGGAATCTTCTAGAATGCTGCAGTCCATCATGTCCAACAGAACTTACTGTGATGATGGTGGCACTCCGAGTCCACACGGTGCAGGACAGAAGTCCCAGCACAGGCCGCGGGGCCACAGGAGGCCAGCTCAGTGGAGAAGCCGATTCTTTCTTATTCCTGATTCTGGGGATTGAGCCCAGGGGCCCTTAACCGCCGCGCCCCACCCAGCCTTTTTATTACTGTTACTTTTGGGGACGGGATCTTGTTAAGTTGCTGAGGCTGGCCTTGAACTTGCATTCTCCTGCCTCAGCCTCCCAATTACAGGAGTGTGCCCCGCGCCCCGTGTCGCCCCCCCACTGGGTTTGACATAGAGACGTCAACAGGAGACACCCCGGAGAGGGCGGGGGGAGGGAGTCCGCCCACAGACTTCTCGGTCCCTGATGGCCCTGGATGGACACATCTTCTCCAGGTGTAGGTCAGCGTGGTGGACCAGGAGCCGTGCAGCAGGAAGGCCCTGTGCTCAGGGTGCTCTCCAGAGGGCTGTGCTCCCCGTCCCAGGCCCCCACAGGCCTGTCCCCGGGTGGGCTACTGGAGGTAGCACAGCCTGGGAGCACCTGGGTCCCCATGACTCTCACAGGGGATGGCCGTGGCCTTTGCTCTTTTTTGCCCCTTGCCTATGGTGAAGGGTGTCTGTCCACCATGATGCCCTGACTGGCCACAGGCCAAAGCTACAGGGACAGCTGGCCACCGAAGCCGGAAAGACCCTTTTCTCCTTATCTGTCGATTAACTCAGGTATCTTGCTATAGTGATGGTAAGCTGAGCGACTCAGAGTGGCACGAGGTCCGGAGCAGGGCAGTCCCAAACGCCTTGGGGCCCCACGGCCACCTAGAAGAGGGGAGACCTTGGGCCATGATGGGCCACGGAGTACAGCTCCAGCAGTGTCCCCTTCCAGCCCCAGGACCTGAGGACACATCGTTTCCCACTGCCAGAGGGACTCCCCGTGGGGGAGGTGGAGGTGGGGTCCCCGGAGCCCCAGGAGCCGCCTGCATCTGCATTCAGGACGTCCCAGTTCCAGGGCCACAGAAGATGGACGTGCACAGGAACCCGGGGGAGTTGCTGCGGGAGAGTGCCGCTGTGCTGAAGCGGCCAGCCCTGGAGGGCAGCGGGTTCTACAGCCTGGACACGAGGTCGAGGTAAGCAGGGCCAGAAAGCAACAGAGTGCTCCATCCCACCACGACGGGGACATGCCAGGGGGACACAGGAGCTGCCAGGAGCGAGGGCTCAAGGGGCAGAGGCTGGCACGGTCCCTCCTGGAGAGTGCAGGACGTCCAGCTCAGCAGACTCTCAAACAAGGACGTGCTTCGTAGCCCACCTCCCGGGTCCTGCCTGGGGGTCTTTGGTTTCTCTGGCTTGGGACCGGGCATGGAGCCACCCCCAGCCCTTTTATTTTCTATTCAGAGACAGTGTGTTGGCCTTGCACTTGAGACCCCACCTCAGCCTCCTGAGTCACAAGTCACGGAGGAGGGGCTCGGGGAGCACAGGCCACAACGGATTCCACAGGC